GCCGCAGACGGTAACGTGCGGGCAGGCGGCGTGCGAGGCCTCAGTGCCCCGACCGCGGTCGGGCCTGGGCGGCAGGAGCGCGAGCGGCGCTGCGGCGTCGGAGGCGGCCCGAGCTCCCGCACCGGGCAGTTGTCGCTGTGGTCGGGGAGGGCGGGCAGAGTCGGGGAGGGCTGGGACGGGGCTGACCCGGCGGGCGGAGAGGCGGCCGAAGACCCGGCGGCAGGTGCCTGCCCCCGCTGCGATACCTCTCTCTCCCCCCAGCTCCACCCACTTTGGCCCGGACCCAGCCTCCAAGGGCTAAAAATATTGCCCGGAGGCTCCTGAGCGGAGTCAGATCGCGCTAAGTAGGGCACGACGCGCGCAGAGGCGACAGAGCTCCTCGGCTCCAGGGTCCGAGGAATACTGGAGCGGCGGCTCCCTCCCCTGCTCGGCCCAGCAGCTAGCGGCCTCCCTCCACCGAGCAGGCAAGTGGGGACCCGCGGGCGGTGGCAGCGGGCACTGGTCCTCTGAAGTTGCCCCACAGCCCAGTAGTTGTGCCTACCCAGGGGATCCTTACCATCAATCACTGCCGGCCTCCCAGGGGGTCCCCTAAATACTCTACAAGCAGAGGTGAAAGTTACCCATGGCAGGAATCAGAATTAACAGGGAGGAGACGTAGGACTCGCTTTATGCTAGAAACAAGCTGCTGCTGCTTTTTAAATTCCGTCTGTATTTCTTAATGAGAGAGGTGCTATGCCAGGCACTGTCTCTGGTGAGTACCAGTCTGATCCAAGAGGGCAGGAAGAAAGCCTTCTCTGTCGGTCTCTTTGATTTATACTTTTTTTTTTAATTTTTATTTATTTATTTTTTCCCCCAAAGCCCCAGTAGATAGTTGTATGTCACAGCTGCACATCCTTCTAGTTGCTGTATGTGGGATCCGGCCTCAGCATGGCCGGAGAAGCGGTGCGTCAGTGAGCGCGCGGGTCCCAACCCTGGGCCGCCAGCAGCGGAGCGCAGGCACTTAACCGCTAAGCCACCGGGCTGGCCCAGATTTATACTCTTTAAGTCAAAATAGATACCAGTGTATTCCTCTGAAACTAGAAGCGCATGGCTAAGGAGCCTGGACACCCACCTCCTTTGACTGCCTGTGTCTTGCTTGTAGGCAAGCTCTGTGGGCGGCTGGTATAAGCAGGAGGTTGTGTGGTGAACTCTGGAATCAGAGCTGGGAAGTTTGTTATCCAGTTGTGGTTTTCTATAGCACCAGCCTGGGAGAGAGCATCTCCACCCTAGGGGCAGAGCTGCTACCAGGACCAGGCACGCCAGCCTCAGATGTGCTATTTTTGTGTGCTTTCTGTGTCTTGGCCAAGAGAAGAAGATCCAGGCTGGGTCATGATCCACAGCCAGTGCTCGGATGTGGTGCTTAGAAGCTTCCTTTTCTTTGCAGTTAGGCAAATCGGTGTTCCTTGGGATCAGCCCTCAGGGATAAGGGATTTTGCCTGCTGGAGCTACATATGGTGCTCCTCCTGCCAGGTCTGTGTGGAGGCCAGTATGAAGCTGAAAAAGCAGGTGACAGTGTGTGGGGCTGCTATCTTCTGTGTGGCTGTCTTCTCGCTCTATCTCATGCTGGACCGAGTGCAGCATGATCCTACCCGACACCAGAATGGTGGGAACTTCCCCCGGGTGAGTCATGCCTGGTTGCTAATCTCTTCTTATACAAGTCATCTGGGCTCAGGTTATCGCCCCAGCTGGAGAGCCCTGTCAACCCAGGACAGGAACATTCCTTCCCAATAGGCAGATTTTCTAGAAACTCATAGCTAAAAACAATGATGGCTAAAAGAAAGAAGGAAGGAAAAATCCAATATGTACTGCGGCTCTGTCCTCATGAGTTCTTGGCGGGCACTGCTAATGGATTGCCACGTTCTTTCCCCCTAAGCCCAGTGCAGTCCTTGTCAGCACAGGGCTCCAGACAGGCAACATAGGTTGTTGAGAATAGGCAGGTGAGATGAAATCTTTTTTTTTTTTTAATAATGTTACTGTGACTCTGTTTTATTTATTTATTTATTTATTTGTGAGGAAGATCGGCCCTGAGCTAACATCCATGCTAATTCTCTTCTTTTTGCTGAGGAAGACCGGTTCTGAGCTAATATCTATTGCCAATCCTCCTCCTTTTTTTTTCCCCCCCAAAGCCCCAGTAGATAGTTGTATGTCATAGTTGCACATCCTTCTAGTTGCTGTATGTGGGACGCGGCCTCAGCATGGCTGGAGAAGCGGTGTGTCGGTGCGCGCCCGGGATCCGAACCCCGGGCCGCCAGTAGCAGAGCGCGCGCACTTAACCGCTAAGCCACGGGGCCGGCCCGAGATGAAATCTTTGCCATCCGTGAGCTGTAGGGTGAGGGTATTCCCACCACAAGTGGATTGCAGTCTGCAGTAGTGATTTGCACCTCTTTCCTTATCTGACCAGAGCATCCCCCACTGTAGGCTCATGGTGGGAGGGAAGGATCACAGTCAGTCCTCAGGTGGTGGGCCACATGCAGAGATTCTCCCTGTGGCACAGGAGCTGTGGGTGATTGCTTTCTGGTTTTTTGGCAGAGCCAAATTTCTGTGCTGCAGAACCGCATTGAGCAGCTGGAGCAGCTGTTGGAGGAGAACCATGAGATCATCAGCCACATCAAGGACTCTGTGCTGGAGCTGACAGCCAATGCAGAGGGCCCGCCCGCCCTGCTGCCCTACTACACGGCCAATGGCTCCTGGGTGGTGCCACCAGAACCCCGGCCCAGCTTCTTCTCCATCTCTCCTCAAGACTGCCAGTTTGCTTTGGGGGGCCGGGGCCAGAAGCCAGAGCTGCAGGTAAGAGGCAGAGCTGGCAGGGACCTACGGTGGCCTGGATGGGGCACTGAGCTGCCCCCCTGCCTGGCAGATGCTGACTGTATCGGAGGAGTTGCCGTTTGACAATGTGGACGGTGGTGTGTGGAAGCAAGGCTTTGACATCTCCTACAGCCCACACGACTGGGATGCTGAAGATCTGCAGGTGTTTGTGGTGCCCCACTCTCACAATGACCCAGGTGAGGGCCCAGCAGACCCCTGGGAGCTGGAGTGTGGAGTGGGCTTTCTGATGACTAAGGTAAGGGGGGGACAGTTGAAGAAGATGGTGGCATCCTCAGGGGACTGTATGTTGGCTCCCCAGGCTGGATCAAGACCTTTGACAAGTACTACACAGAGCAGACCCAGCACATCCTCAACAGCATGGTGTCCAAACTGCAGGAGGACCCCCGGCGGCGCTTTCTCTGGGCGGAAGTCTCCTTCTTTGCCAAGTGGTGGGACAACATCAATGCCCAAAAGAGAGCAGCAGTCCGAAGGCCAGTGCCAGTCGTGGAGGTGTGGGAGGGCTATCCTCTGGGCCCTGGCATCAGTGTGAAGGTCTCACCTGAAGCTGTGGGTGCCAAGGTGCCAGGGAGAGGAAAGGGGAACTGTGGCAGAGCTGAGGAGTGATGGTAGAGGGGCCGGGAATGAGAAGGCAAGAACTGGTTTGAGGGTCACTCGTGTTAGGAGAAATCAAAGTTGTGTGAGCACAAGTGAAGAGAAAACCTGGGGCCTGGCCCTGGAAGCGCAGACAGAGGTCAGCAGGGCCAGGTCAGCACGGAGGTTGGCTGGAAGGAAAGGAAGGCGCGTGTCTGTTTTCTTGGTCCTGGGTTTGGGTGAGCTGGCTCAGTGAGGCCAGTGCACACAGGTCCCAGCATCTTCTGGTTGGGAGGACTGGGCCAAGGGTTCCCACCCCCCACACTGAGTGTGAGTCCTTAACTCCAGGCTGGTGGGAAACGGGCAGCTGGAGATTGCGACGGGAGGCTGGGTAATGCCGGATGAGGCCAACTCCCATTACTTTGCACTGATTGACCAGCTCATCGAGGGACACCAGTGGCTGGAGAGAAACCTCGGTGAGTCCAGGCTCAGGAACGGAAGTCTGAGGACAGCAGGGGGACATGAGGCACAGGGATTGGCTGGGAGTTGTTCCTTTCTAGACTCATTTCACCAGCATGGGCCTGGTGTGATGGCAAGAAGGGAGCTGGGGCCCCAGTACCGGGAGGCCAGGCCCTGAGGTGTTCAGGGTCTCTGGCTTCCATGCTCCTGCCCAGGTGCAGCCCCACGCTCTGGCTGGGCGGTGGACCCCTTTGGACACAGCCCCACCATGCCTTACCTGCTGCGCCGTGCCAACCTGACCAGCATGCTGATTCAGAGGGTGCATTATGCCATCAAGAAGCACTTTGCTGCCACGCACAGCCTGGAGTTCATGTGGAGGCAGACTTGGGGTAAGGCCAGGTAGAGTGCGTGGGGTCCCAGCAGTAGTCCTCACTGGGGAAGGGCGGGGATCTTAGAAGTAAGACCCCCCAGTGTCCTTCAGAGCAGACCAATAAGCAGATTGCCAGAAGTGCTGTCTCCTTCAGATTAGGTGGGGATCACACTGACCTCTGGCCTTGGTGGGGCCTGCTGTCTGTCCCGAGGGTCTGAGCGTGCCGTCCCCGGGAGGAGCTGTGGGCTCCAGAGCTCCCTGTGACCTGATCTGGGGCCTGCGCATTCTCTACCGCCTCAAGTCTAGTTCAAGCCTCACTTCCTCGGGGCTGCCTTTAGCCGCAGCAGACGCTGCCTTCCTGGCATCCCTGTGCCCAGCTCGAGGCCGCCTGCTGGTGGCTGACTGCCCAGTCTGTCTCCTACAGACTCAGACTCCAGCACAGACATCTTCTGCCACATGATGCCCTTCTACAGCTATGACGTCCCCCATACCTGTGGCCCGGATCCCAAGATCTGCTGCCAGTTTGATTTCAAACGTCTGCCTGGTGGGCGCATCAACTGCCCGTGGAAGGTGCCGCCCCGGGCCATCACAGAGGCCAATGTGGCTGAGAGGTATTTGCTCCAGCCCTGGGCTGGGTGTGGGGTGCCGTTTTCACTCCATAGAGGAGTCAGGAGACCTGGCCTCTGGTCTGGGCTTGCTGCTTGGGGGGCTTCGGGTTCCACATCTGTAAAATGGGGAGGGGGCTTGGGTGGTGAGTTTGGGCCCACGGCAGCTGTGGTCGCAGCTCCTTTATGGGGTCTCATTGGAAAACTCGAGTGGTTCTAAGGAACCACCTTTTCTGAAATGGTTTTATTTTACCAAATGAGTATGTTTTCCAGTGTCCTAACAAACTGTCAAAGCCAGTTGACTGACTCAGAGATGACTGATTCTCAAGTTCAGGGCAGTTCCTCACAACCTTTAGCCTACTGTGCCTTCGTTCAGCTCGGGCATCCCACTGGGGCTCAAAGTCAGCCAGGATCCTCGCTGTCTGTGGACCTGGAATCCCATTCAGATGCACATTCGTCCCACCTAGAAGCCTCCAGCCTCCAAGAAAACAGACCTGTTCCCTTTGAGAATTGTCAGGGACCCCTAAAGATGTCACTGTTGCTGAAATCGGCCCCCCTGGAAAAGTGCAGATTGAGTGATCTAAAATAGCGATTTAGCCAAACTGGACTGGCCTTAAGAATACAACAAGTTGAACTGGTTTTCATGTTGCAGCACTCTGATTTCAGTGATGTCCAAGAGGTGAATCGTGACCGAAAGGGTAAGAAAGTGGTCTTTTGTTTCCAGAATCCAGAAATCTAAACGCTGATCCCAGGCAAGAATCGAGGGCTATTACAGCATGGTTTTTCTTAAAGCAGCAGCTGTGGTGTATAGATGCCAGCCCAGGTCTGCAGAGAGCAAGTCTGAGATAACTTCATTTTCTCCTTTGAAAGCCTTACTAGGCTGATAAATTAGGGAAAATGGTATTCGAGGAGTCGTTTCTTGAGAACAAAGTAGAGAAATACAGGCTGGACCAGCACTGTATGATTACAGATTAGTAGCTGGTTGAACTGTGACACCCATAACATGCCAATTACTAGGGTGGCCTAAAAAGAGAAAGGGACTTTAATGATATGCTACAAGGCTCTGTTTTTCTATTGATTTTACCAGTAACTTGGATGAAAAAGAAAATATCAAATGTTTGTATTTAGTTACTACCATATACCAGGCATTCTTCTTTTTTTTTTAAATTTTTTATTTATTGCAGTAACATTGGTTTATAACATTGTATAAATTTCAGGTGTACATCATTATACTTCTATTTCTGCATAGATTACATCATGTT